AGTCATTTAGGATGGTTAGATCCTTGATTGTTTGCATTGCTGTTTCTATGCTTGTTAAGAAATCAGCGAATCCTCTGAGACCTTGATGATCCTTAGCACCGATCTTTGGCCATCCTTGTAGCTTGTCTCTGTAAGCTTTAGTTACTATAAATGGGTGACCAAATGTCTCGTCCAGAATGCTCCATGCTTGTTCGTAGGCTTCCGATAAACTTTGCAGGAAAAGTCCGCTTATGGCTTGCTTGGCTGATTCGCTAACATATCGTTTTAAGTAATACATCTTGTTACACAGAGGTAAGTTTTTTCGGTGTATGAGAGCATAGAAGGACGACTTCCAATCCGGATAATGGATGGGTTCACCGCTGAAGGTGGTTGCTTCAGGTGCTGGGAGGCGACTTAAACTGAATGAATCGGCTATTGTAGTGACGATCTCGGCGGTTTTATCAGCGCTTGATGACCCTTGAAGGACACTAGGAGACTTGTGCACGTCTTGAAGCTGCTGAGTGGGCTGTGTTACCCTTGATGCGGTTACGTCCGATCTTAAATGCCTGGGCTCCTGCAGCGGAGGTAGGGATGCTGGGGTTGTCTGAATAAGGGAAGCGCGCGAGTAATCGTCTTCAACGGGATCCTTCTCATTTTCGATCTCTTCGGCTACTTGGTACGCGTTTAGCCTTGCCCTTGCCATTGCCATATCCAATTGTTTCTTCACTTTCATCTGTTCTAACTCCAGTTTTCTTCTTGCCAGTTCTGATTCGATCCTTGTCGATTCGGCCCTTAGTTGTGCCTCCATCTCGGCGATTTCTTCCTTACGTTTTTCTTCTTCTTGGAGGGCGTTAAGTTCGGCTTCCTTTGCGGCTAGCTCTGCAACCACATCGGCTTTCCTTAGGTCGATTAGTGAAGATACTCTTGAAGACTTACCGACCCTTGAGTGACCTGAGATAATGGATCTACTTCGGACGGACCTTCTAGCGTTGCGTGACATAGGATTGCTATCTTCAGATTGTTTCAGTTGATATTCCAGAGTCCTGGTTGATGCATCGCATGCATCTATCTTTTGGGGAATTTCTTGTCAGGAGGCCGAAACTTCCGTAACTTCTTGTATATCATTAGAGCACTGACGTGGAGATCCTTCAAGCGGAGAATATTTTCGTCTTTGTCAGTTTGTGAAAGTGGGAGCTGATCAGCAATATACCGCTCGATGTCTGAGGCTTGCGCTTTCCATGCGTCAAAGGCTTCGTGGAATCTCTTTATTAGCTGATCTTCTTCTTTATCTCGCTCTCTTTGACGATCTTCTTGATAGGCCTGGCCTCCCTCTGTCAAAGTTCGGACTCTGGGGATTTGCGTTTGCTGCTCTTGGATGGAACCTGCGACTATGCTATTTACATTATTATTATCTACTGCTGATAGATTACTGTTTGCTTGGACTACCCCTTCTGTAGGTAACGCTAACTTCTCTACGGCATTAAATTCTGTTACCTCACTTGAGCTAGACATTTGGTCTAAGTAAAACTTGGCTTGTGATTTGTCGCTGCGCAGAACGTCAGTACTTGACTTGAGAATCTATTTTTAGTCGGACGTCTGACCTTGATCTTGACTTGACTTGACCTTTGATTGCACTTGCTTGTTTTGCCCACTTTGGATCTTCGCTTGATCGATCTTCTGTGGTACATCAAGTTCTCACTATTGCTCCAGTGATGAGATATGAGATGACACTTGTTCACGTACTGATGTTTATTTCCTTTCTTAACATTAATTCCATAAACACTATGAGAACTAAAATAAAGGTAAGAGAATTTTACAAATGAGGTTGTGAAATTACGGAAATACATACATTTCATCCGTGAAAGTAACAAGACGGAAAGGTAAAAACTTAAGATTGCCAAATAACGGTAAATGATGTCGTGTGTAAACTTAACTTCGTCTAAAATCTAAAATCTAAAATGTTGATTTTACAATGCAATGAGCGATAAAATTGGCTTAAAGGATAAAATTACAAAGCGCTTACTTAAATAAGAAAATGTAGCGTAAATATTTACCTTGGTGATGTCCTTAAAATCACTAGAACAAGGAAAACTTCTTGGCTTCTTTGAAATGGATTGACAAAGAACTTGCGTCAACTAACAGCAAAAACAGAAAACTTAACCTTTTAACAACAGAATTGCGTGGCGCTTTCGGGTACGTCCTAGCTTGCGTTAGAAAGAACTTTCTCGTTAAATCTACAAATTGCGTTAGCGTGCGCGTGCAGAAAACAAAGATTTCGGATAAAAAATAAGTTAATTAAACGTGCGGCTAATTGCTGTAGCTACAATCAGCTCTGAACAACATTGGCTAACTTGAGTCACATGACAAACGATTATGTGACATAATAACGTTCCACCATTCCTTCTTTTTTTTAAAGAAAAAACTGGAACTATAGAAAAAGAAGTGGAACAATGAACGGTCACAATAAAATGTTTGCACAAATGTTCACTGAAATGTTCAGGAAATATACGATAAATGTTCAGCATAGACTTGGCAGAAAAATAAAACAAAACAGAAAAAATATAAAGATAAAAGATCTAGGTTTGAACAAAGTCCTGTAAGTAGCCAGGGGGGTGAATAGAGCGTCCGCTGTGTGTGACTGCATTGCTCTTTTGGCGCTCAGCCAATGGCGCTGGACAGGTAGCTGGTGGTCCTGGCTCTGGTTGCTTTCTGGACGGTGCTGTAGGGCATCCTGCACTGTTCTCTCCTGATACGGTTTCTGTGCTGGCTGTAGTTGGTGGACTGCTCAGAATTGGACTTGGAATTTCAACTTTTTGAAGATGCGATTTTCTTGCTTTTGACAGATTCAATTTCTCCCAGTGACGTTGACAAGAGCCCCAAAATGTTTGGGCATTTCTGTACAAGAATGGAATCACTTTATGGTAGGTGGTACAAGACATACAACGTGCACATGCTCATCCATCTTCCAGAGTGTGTAAGAAACGTTTGAACACTTTGGTGCACTGTAGTTTCAAAAACGAAGCACTCGAAAATGAAGACCGAAGCACGAAGCACCAAAATCTCGAAAACGAAGCACCCAAAACTCAAAAACAAAGCATCCAAATCTCGAAACTACTGTAGGTTGAAGGACTACAACTTTGAGTCTTGCATGCCGCAAGCCAAACCAGGTGGAGTCACAGAAAAGGTATCATTTTCCAATGCAAGTATGCATAAACGAACAGAGAATCGAACAGGTTAAGGAAATGGTCTTCCTCGGTGTAGTCCTTGCTGAACATCTGTCTTGGAAACCGCACATTTCTCAAGAAGCTCGTAAAATCTCGAAATCAATAGGTGTCATTAATAGAGCAAGATTTTTTCTACCTAAACCGTGTCTAAAAACTCTCTATTATTGTTTAGTTTATCCTTATCTTCATTATTGTATTATTGTCTGGGGATCTACGTACAAAACCAATCTTCGCCGTCTTGTCTCTTTGCAAAAGCGAGTTATCAGAATTATTTCTAAATCAACTTTCGATTCTCATTCAGACCCTATTTTCAAAGAATTAGAGCTACTAAAACTTTCCGATATTAGACAGCTAGAATTAGGTAAACTTATGTTTTCTCTTAACCATTCTCTTTTGCCTTCAAAGTTCAACAATTATTTTTCTTTAAACAAACAAGTCCATAGCTATGCCACTAGACACGCGAACGATTTTCACCTTCCTTCTTGTAGAACAAACCTTCGTAAATTTTCTGTCAGTTTCCAAGGACCTACTTATTATAACACTATAGAAAATGATATTAAAGAATCTAATTCTCTCCACGTATTCAAAACGAAATTGAAAAAAATATATATGAATTATTAGTTATAAATCTTGTAGTAAATAGTTATATTTCTTCATATGTCTGATATTATTTTTATACTTATTGTTACTTGTACCATACCTTATATTTTGTCAACTCAGTCTATGTAATTAGTTAATTTATACTTACCTTCATTGTATTTTGCTTTCGATCCTGGCCTTTAACTGTTACTGTTAACTTTATTTTTACTCTGAGGGAGCCCAACGTCTATAAGCCTCATGGTTTCTTTTTGGGCTTCCTCGCCACTTTCATTTGCTTTTGTGTAACTGTCTTGTTCTATCGTTATTTGTATTTTGTGGTAAATCAAATAAAGTTACAAAGAGTCAATGGATGCAGAAAAGCATTACAATGGCAAAGGATAGTAGTTCCCTCGTCTGTCCACAAAAGTGCAAAGGTCTGAACATTGGGCCACATATATTTCTGATTGATCGTGTTTCAAATTAATCACATTTCACTGACAAGACTAACAAGTGCTGACTGTTACCACTGTCATTCCTAGCAGAGTTCCTTCGATTGGGGGATTTTATGTTTAAATCTGCGGTATTTCGGGCAGAAAATGAAGACCTAAGACTTAAGACCCAAAAACGAAGATCTCAGGTTTCCAGAAAATCACGCCCAAAGTCAGCTTCCGTACAAAAAATGCCCTCTTTTCAGCAATTTTCAAGTGCTGAGGGATAGTACTTCTGCTGCGCAAAATTTTTATCTTTTGTGCTTAAGCCACAGATAACGAAGTCGTGCCAATGAGTTCAACCAACGCTGGTGGGCCAAAAAAGGCTCATTTTTTTCTTATCTGGAGCTTATTCAAAGCGCTTGTACCTTTGAATTTGCCATTTTTGCGGTCATGAATAATAAATGATTTCCACTCATTTTGCGTGATGAAAATCACTTATAAATACCTAGAAACGGGTATCTCGACCTTAGATGTCTAAGAAACGACAAGATCTTCAATTATACAAAATTTTGAACAGGCTCTTCGTTTTCTACATAATCCCCCCAGTGTGTAGAAAACGAAGACCCCACTCAAAATCACTTGGAAATGGCTGGAAACTGCTTTTAACGACTTCCAGACACTAAAGGATTGTAAGATAAAAACACGGCTCCTGACGATTTTCAGTTATACAAAATTTTGTGGTACAGTCAAACCCTGTTTGTACAGACACTTAGGAGACCACAGGAAGTGTCTTTAGTAAGTGGATTCAATGTGGAACAGAGGTAAGACCTTTCTTTTCCCTGGACAATGCTCCCTTGTGCTTGCACTCAATGCAGTTTCTCACATCCCTCCTGTGTGATGTTTAGACTAGAGCTAGAATTTTTTTGGGAAACCGTTTCTCTTCTGTACAGGGCTTACAGCAAAGGATGATTGCAAAGAAAATGCTGGCGAAGACCCTGGTCGAAATTTTGTGTAATTGAAAATCGTCAGGAGCTGTGTTGTTTCTTACACTCCTTTAGTGTCTAGAAGTCGTTAAAAGCAGTTTTCAGCGGTTTCCAAGTGATTTTGAGGGGGGTCTTCATTTTCTACACATCGGGGGTTATAATGTAGAAAACGAAGACCCTGGTGGAAATTCTGTATAACTGAAGATCTTGTTGTTTCTTAGACATCTAAGGTCGACCGGTCTAGATATTTATAAGTGATTGTGAGGGGGGTCTTCGTTTTTGGGTCTTAGGTCTTAGGTCTTCGTTTTCTACCTGAAATACTGTTGATTTAAACATAAAATCCCCTGAATCGAAGGTACTCGGCACTGACCGGAGCTGCCGGAATTCTCTTTTGATTATGAGTTGTTTCCCTCCAAAGAGTAACAATAATTTTCTTCCTCGGCTAAATAGCGCTTTCTACTATTACTAAGAATAGATTTTGTCACGTGATAACCTATGAGACCCCCTGCACAGACTCAGACAAACACTGCGACCAGCTTAAAGGAAATGTATGAGTGAGAGCTGTAAAATTGAAACAAAACGACGGAAAATTTCGTCCAAAAATGACTTAGCATTCTAAAAGGAAGCAGCATTGTTGGACAAACAGACTCAAGATATGCAGATAAATGGCCAAAATCACTTAAAGAGTTAGAGGAATCGGGGAAGAAAGTATTCATTCCTTTCCCAAAACCTTCGCGAGACATGGCAAAGTGGAAGCGTTGGCAAGTGGCTTGTTTGAGTGAATTTTTTTCAGAGAAAAACATAAGAAACACTTATATTTGTGCTCTTCACTGGCCAAGCGAAAAAGGTCCAACAGCTGAATTTTCCCAATCCACTGAAGGCTAATCTAAGACCAGCGCAAGTAAGTCGAGCACATGTTCTAAAGAGAAAAGCACTGAAAGAAAGAGAAAAATCCAACGTTAAAGAAACAAATTATTTAATGACAACTACGAGGAACAATTATTTAACGATATTACAGTTTCTGATGATCATGATCAGGAGTCACAAGAAGTTGAACTGACAGTCAACGAAAGCAGTTTTATTGATGAAGAATGTGTTGATGAGCAATGTGCCGTGATCGATACATACATTTACGTTAACCCTTCAGGAAAGCTGGTTTGTGATCAAGGCTCTCAGACTATACATTCAAAATACGAGTTGTCTGCAAAGGTCGAAACTATGATTTTGAAAAACGACGCCTCTACGATGCAGTTACAGGGTCCTAAAATAGTGAGTACTTTATCCTATGAAAATATCGTGCAAGATGTAGCTCTCATGAAACACTTCACCGGCCTCAAGCCTTCCCAGTTTGAAGTTTTGCATGATTTTCTTGACGATGTTTGCTGTTTACAGACAATCAACTACTGGAAAAGCAAAGATTGCCCAGCAATGGAGAATGCAAGAACTGGCCCAACTGGCCGAAAAGCTGATTTTTCATCTAGAGAAAAACTTTTTATTTGCCTTCTGAGACTAGGGGTTTTACTCTCGAGACTATTGCAGCTCTTCTTAGTACACCAAACAGGAAAATTAACTTGTACCATATTGGAAAGATTTTTGCAACATATATCCAGTTGACATATGTAATTTTTAGAGACATGCAAAACTTTGTTTCCAGAGAGAGCCCAATTTAGCAGCTGGTTCCTCGCTAAGGTATTCAAAACCATGAAGAACATATGCTGTATTGTTGATTGTACTGAATTTTGAGTGGAATGCTCCAGGAATTTTGCCAGGCAAGGAAACACTTTCTCTTCCTATAAGCACACCAACACATATTAGTGCCTCATTGCTGTAAACCCCAGTGGTGGAGCGTCTGACTACTATAAACAGGGCTGAAGAGACAATTAAGTTGACCTATCAAATTCCAAAATAAAATACAAAATTGTACGAGTAGCAATCAAGGTCAGATTTATGCATTCAAACCATCATACATGTATCAGATATTATTATAATACCCCATACAGTGTAAAGCATTTCCCAAACAAAAAAATTGATTGTGGCGTGTTTGACAATTTAAGATTACCTCCTCTGCTAAGCAAACCAACTGAAAAAACGAGAAATGTTCAACATAACATGATGGCTGCTAACCCTCACCCCTGTGCAATGCCAGAAGGTGTCTGCATGTCCATGTTCATTGAAAGTCACATCCTCATTGAAAGGGATTTCTGCTGCTGGCTTGTTAGAAAATTTCTTCCACACTGGGAATCAGGTGGGTGCTGGCAGTCTTCAAGGGCATCCAGAAAAATACTGCTTGTAAGCTTGGAGGGCTGTGACGGGGTGACTGACGTAGACAGCACTGAGTTTACTTGCAGCGGACAAGTTTTAAGGCAACAGGTTGTTGTGATGGTGCTTGTCAGGTATGGACGAAGGAGTATCAAGAAATAGTCGCCCTCATTGCCATACAGATCCAGGGTACCAGCAACAACTTTAAAATAAAAAATATAGCACAAAAATTGAATTTATTATAATGCTTTTAATATTAATATTTTTTTTTCTTTTCATCTTACCAATCTTTGCCAACGTTATGATCATTAAAAGCAGTTAGCTCTATTATAAAAGTGCTCAATGACGCATTGTTTTATATGTGAGAGGTAAGTTTTTAACCTTCAAATTGTTTTGTCTCCTTACCCTAACCCATGAATAATTAAGGCTACAAGACAAAGGAAATAGAGAATTGACCAAAGTTAAAATTTTAACCTGAATTTAATTGACCTAGAAGTCTGTGTAACATTAATTGATAATTTTTAAAAGTGAAAAAAAAAAGTGTATGCGTACCTCTTAATTGCTGCCATTGTGGAAGAGACTGCAAGATAAGCAACTTTGCATCTGCATATAGGCCATCATCTATGAGCTTAAGGGATGTCCCTATTATGTGAACTGACTCTGGAAGGTCACTGAGCTCCACCTTGTGTGATTTGGTCAGAGCCTGAAAAATCATCAGCCAATTATCCAAAGGACAAGTATTGGTAATTGATATCCCAGTGCTCGTCAGTCCATTCCAGGGAAAGACAGTCAGCTCCTGGCCTTGTTCAGAAGCACAATTACTACTTCTGGAAACAACACTGGTGGCCGAGAGGAGAACCTCTGCAGCATCAATTTCTTCTTGGCAGTATAAGCTTGGTTGGATAGACTCTTCAACCAATTCAGATCCTATGGTTGCGCACAACTCAGGATATGACACAGGTGACGCCTGTCTTCAATGTCTTCAGGATGATCGGCAACATTTTGGATGGATTCTAGCGCATAGTAATGCACGTGCCCATAGTTGAAGAGCGAAAGAATGTTTTGAGATGGAAAAACACGCCAGGCAGTCAACGGAATACACGGAATGGATATTGATCCAGAATTTGTCTTAACATCAGAATTTTCTTGAAGAACTTTTAGCAGCAAACCATTTTCCATGATCGATTGCTGGATCAAGGGTGTGATAATTCCGGCTCCTAACACAGTCTCTCACTCGCTGTACAACATTTTCTCATTTACCCCCCGCATTTTAACCACTATTTTAGCTGGTCTACAGTGTATTCTTCCAGTTCTCTTTCAAATTTGGAGCCAGGAACGCTGTCCTCTTCGGTCAGAACTGTAAGGGAATGAAGTAAACTACTCACCATTTCCCTTGCAGCTCTCAAAGAAGTGGAGTTTGTTTCTCTGAGTCACCCGGGGGGTCTAAAATTTCATGACGTCATTAGTATAAAGCACTATTGTGATGCAAAGCATTAACAAATTCAAGCATCCTTGAACTGGACATGCTCAACTCATCCCAAATTACAATGTCCACATCGCGTACTCTCTCACACATCCCACAATCACTTGATGCATGAGTAATCAGGAGCCTGGCCGTCAGATCTGCAGCACCAAGGCCATAAAAAGACTGGAGTGTCGAGGCGACGCCTGGATCATACACTTGACAAGCAATTCCACTCAACCAAATAATGGATACTCGCAAACCACGCTGTTGACAATTGTCTTGAATTGCATCAACCACTCTTGATTTTCCTGCTCCAGCTTGACCAGTGACGAGGAGGTTGTGCCCACTCTTGGCAAACTGAAAAACTTTAGTTTGCTCAAGAGTAAGATTTTCGCTCATTTGGTGAAAACGTGAAACAACGAAGTCTCTGGACATTTCATGTAGTCTTGCAAAACAACAGCCAGGGAAATATACAAAAGAGCATGCTGCAATTAGACCTATCGTTGTATTTTACAGTTCTCTTTGCCTTCGCTGCTAAACTTACTTTACACAATTTTATATTTAGTATGAACAAACTATAAATATTATTTATGTATTTGTGCCATTTAGAATGCATTTTTAGAGATCTTAATTATTCTGGACAGCCGTAAAAGTGTTTTAATTGCGTTTGGGAAGAAATCGTTGTTGGAGGCCCCTGAGTTTTGAAAATAAAATACTTATAGCCAAGAAAAAAAAAGGCACATAACTTTCTTCCTTACCAGAGCTTCCATTCAGCTGCATAGCCAACACTAGATTTTGCCTTTTTCCTAGGCAGCAAATTGTCGTCCTCCCTCACCACTTTGGACAACATATTGTCGCTGTTCTGGAAAGAACTATTTATTTCATTAATCCAAGCAAATAGGTCCAGTGGAGACAAGAACCTATGCAAGCGGCTGGACAAACAATGTGAACGTTAGAACAATTAAAAAACCAGGGCCGCCCTGTTGAAAACGTACAGACGATCGCGCAATTGCCTTTTGTTTTCGGGTCAAAACTAACGCAGCGGACCTTCGCTCAGTGTTGATTGAGAAGCAATAGTACCATCCCTCCCATAGCAAGTGTTGCATTGTCGCCCAGACGTGGTCGCTAAGCTTGAATATTCACATCGCGTATTAAACCTGGTAGTTTGCGATCATATCGAAGGGTAAAGGTCAACAGTGTTTGTTGATGAGCGAGCGATTATTGTGCAGTTGCCATGGGTTTTGGGGAGCAAGCGAGCAAGAAACCGGAGCACATGTTACCTGCAGATTAGCTGATGGCAATTTGGACTGGATGCGTTGATTATTCTCAAATTTATAGCGCTTCGTGTGAGGGCACATGGAGATGGTCCGTTTGTTTTGTAGCCAGCCTTTAATTCTTCTTTAGTGGATAGTACCTACACTTGCAAAACTCAACAAAATGCCACTTTAACCGGCCAGGAAAGACAAAGATACATTAAGTTAAAGGTATCTTAGCTTTGTTTTGTTATATTTTGACTTTTGGACTATTTTAGTTCATGGGAGTTTCAACGACTCATTGCATTAGTTTGTTCATGTGAATGTTAATATATTGACACACACTGTCTGGGCCTCCTGTGTACAAAAACACGTCCACACACGTCACGGTAAACACCTTATAAATTTTATGCTTTATAGCTTTTATCGCAAAACAGTAGTACAAATTGAAAACTTTAAAAGCAGAGAAATTGCTCTGATTTAGTAATATAGCATAGTTTACACCTAGTTGCAGGAAAGTGGCAGTAAATTACGGTTTTGATACTTTAATTTTGATTATTATTCACAGGGCTTCAAGTGTCCCTATATTTCCTATACTTTTAAACTTTCCCTATATTTCCCTATTTAGTTTGTAAATGCCCTATAATCCCTATGATTCCATCAGAAAATAAAAATAGACTGAAGTTCATGAACTTCTGTTGGTGGAATGTGACAAAGACAGTGAATTTTTCGGACCATCCAAGACCACACTGGTAATACGTTTATTATTAGTGAATGTAAGTGTACTTAATTTGATGCTGCTGTGAGCACTGATTCTTTATTCAGATATTGTTCAGGTCTTAGAAGGAGTATGTATGCAGCAACTTTGTGTGCACTCGTTTTTCAAATGGAAGGGGATCGATCAATAATTGGTTGCTTTTACAGTAACCAGTAGGAAAATAAGAATTTCAATCTGTGATGAGGTATCTAATAACGTGCAAGGTTAAAGCTCAGTCTGACAGAACACTTCAAAAGTGGTCACATTCTGTCAGAAACAAAAACAACCAGAAATCAGTAGGTTTAAAACAAACCAGCCTCATGCCCTCTCAATGTGAGAAAAACTCCACAGCATGAGCTACCTGCCAGAAAATAAAAAGGGGTTTAAACATGAGGTTAAAGTTGTATAGCATACCAATTTCTCTGTTTCGCCTAGAAAGAATTTTAACAGTTGCAAAACACAATAACAGCATTTTCACCGTACTTCTTTAGGGTCAGTGTGTGTCTTAATGTAGGTACATTTTTTGTGTGCTAAAAGTTAGTGACCTTATGCTCTACTAGTGTTCACAATGTTGGACTAAAATGTATTGTGTTCCTTACCTTCTGCAGAGTTGCAAAACTGGCACTTGATAAAATACGCTTTAAAAAATCCCTATATTTTCCCTATATTGGCCCTATAGTTTTGAAAAATTGCCCCTATATTAAGCCCTATTTTTGCTTAAGGCCACTTGAAGCCCTGTATTCATTCAAAATATTTCCCCGATTCTGATTGGCTAAAAGCACACGCATAATTCACCATGACCAGTCACTGATGACCAAATTTGGAAGAATTTTGTGTTTAACGAGGAAATGACGTCAAAAATGCAGCATTCTTGCAGGTTAATGAACCGTTAACCAAGAAGACCAGGGGACGAGGTTAAGTTGTTTTGGTTGTGAAAACAAAAAATGGGGGACATTTCACTCGTTTCAAGAGCAAGAACTAGGCGAAATTATAGCTAAAAACATGGCAAGAACACAACTCGAAGGGCGACATCTCCTATTTGGAGAATATTTGCGGAGCAGAACAACCCTAAATGTGCACTATTGAAGGTGAACTTGACATCGATGGATCGATGGAGGTAAGCATGTTTTAGCCATGTTTTTAAACTAGGAATTATTTTGAATGAATAATATAACAATTATTGAATTCGGCTTTCGTATAGTATGAAGATTTATGGAGCTCTCGGAGGGTGTTTTCCGCCTCGGCCAATAACCCCCTCCTCTATCTCCATAATTAATTCTTCATAAGATACTCAGCCTCATTCATTAATTGTTATTTCATCAAAACAAACAAATCTGACTGTTCATCGCAGAAGTTTGTGCTTGGTCCAAGTCTCATGCCTCCTGGCTGTGTCGGTATAAAAACGAAAACTTACTATATCGAGGGAAAGAAATATTCTTTGACTTTTTTTGGCTTATATGGATTAACTTGTATGGAGCTCGCATGGAAGAGGCAGGTTTGTAAAGCACGTAGCATTGTTTGATGTGAAAATTGGACATGATTTTGATCAATCAAACAACATCTCATTGGTAAATTGAATCAAAGATTGCATGTTAGCTTGTAGCTCTTTAAAAAATGGGCGATTGCTTACCATCGAATTTCGATCTTCCAAAACTCCACTTTGATCGATCCAACATTAGAAATTTCAAAATTATCTATGCTAGAAATTTTTCTCTTTGCTATGTTCAGCTACTGTACGTTCAAACTTGCCATTAAAAGATCAAAAAATTGATTGTAATATTCTGTACTTAAATTGGTTTCGCGATTATTCTCAACGAGGTACACAGTATAGGTTTGGGTTTGCTGCGGTTACTACTTTGCTTGTTGTTGAATCAATAACAAGGCAATGAAATATTGACATATCCTTTATTCATTTAATTTTTTTTTCAGAGAAGATGAACTTGATCCCAAATCAAACAATAAGTGCAGCAACACTTTTCCGATGACGAATTAACTAAAAGATGCCTGTAGTTTGCCTTTGAAGTACCTGTATCAGAGTGACAACGATATGAATAAAGATCTTACTCGTGGTTTTCACTCCTTTGTAGTAATTTAGCGTGTACAATAATCACTTCAGCAACCAAAACAAATTAAGAATCCTTACATCATTATTCCAACCACTATGTTCTCTTTCTCTTTATATAGGGTGTTATTTGAAAGTTTTTTTCCCTCAAAATATTAGTTTACTACCTAAGATTGTAACTGAAGCTCATGCTAATTTAAAGAAAAAGAAAACTACTGCAACACTACTTTGACGAATTATGCAGTCATGTTCAACTACACCCCTTGGTAGTTTCGAAAACGAAACAATGAAAAGCGAAGCACGAAGCACCGAAAAACTCGCAGCGTCATAGATACCGAATATGTTAGACTGCAAAACAATCGGTTTTTTTCTGAAAATCAGTTAAGAAGTCAGTAAAGCA